CGGAGTTTCCAGATCCAGTATTGTGGCCTGGGAGTATCGGTCGCTTGGCAGTATTATCATTCTCGCAAGAGATCGGATGAATCGCCGTTGGAGTACCTCATCGACTGAATGTGGCGGCTCTACGTGCAAGATTGAAGATCAAGGACGGGGATTCCAAGGCCCGCCGAGAACATGTCGAACACTTTATCGAGACACTGGGCGATCCGGAACTGGCCGATCAGCTCACCCTACTCCGGGTTGCGGACGCGGAAGATCTGGAGGAAGTCCTGCGCGCTCGAGAGTGCGCGAAGAGTAGACAGAAGCGATCCGCCTTTGGATCGAAGTATCGTCAGAAAGTTCCGACCTCAGCACCAGCTGTGCAACCAAGCGGGCAGTGCGTGCAGTGCAGATCGCGAGCCAGGGGTCTGGATCGGACACGGGATCAGACGGATCGGACTCGGGGGGTGATCTACGTCGCGTTTACCTAGCGTCGGCCGAGGACAAGTCCCGCAACGCTGGGGGCGACGCGACGAAGCCGGATCGAAGCAACCAAGCGCAGATCAACCATGACTCACCTCGATCGGATCCACGATTGCGATCTTCACCTGACGGATCGGAGCGACCAAACCGCTGCTCACACCGTGGATCGCGGAAACACACCGATCTCGATTGCTGGAGACGTTTGCCGTGCGAGAAGTGTGGCAAGCGAGGTCATCCGGCGGATCGCTGCCTGTTTGTGTGTCGTGGATGTGGTGAACTACACGAGATGGGCAAGTGTCCGATGGAGGAATTCTACAACCAGATCCGTCAATGGTTCAACCCGGTGAAGCACGCTGGCATGTTGCCCGCGATCACCGAGAAGATGTTAAACTAGGACGCTCGCCGGGTTGGAATCCGGTACGAGCCGAGCGTTCTAGGTATTGCATCTATGCATTCGTGAACAAGAACACGGTAGATCGAGTAAGTGGACGGAATGATCTACGCGGTAATACATGTGATCTGCATGCGAAATCTGCCACCCAGGTCTTAAGTCTACATCGATCGGCCGACTTCAGCCGTTCTGACGCCGAAGTGCCCTTGGATCTCCAGTCTGGAGAGACGCGGGGCTATTGGAAACAACGCAGACCGGAAGAATGGTTCAAGCCATCTGATGGAGAAGTGACGACCGAGATCCCGGAGCATGATCGCGATCGAAGTCTGCCTCGCGTCATCGAACACCGCAGATCTGGCGATGTGGTGCCCGATCTCCTCCCTGGGGAGTCTAGAGGGTACTGGAAACATCATTCGCCAGGTAAGTGGTTCCGTCAGGCCAAGATCACTGGCAAGATCAACAATGAGAAGTCGATCTTACTCTTAGACACCAGCGCCGAGGTGTCCATCGTGGACACCGCCTTTGCTCGTAAGGTGGGGTGCTATGTCGACACGAGTCAGAGCCAGGAATGTGTGAGGATTGGCGAAAGCGTGTACATGACGGAAGGAAGGACCAGGATCAAGGTTACGCTGGCAGGATCGCTGTTGTATTTCTTCGATATCTGGGTTGGCGATCAATCAGGACAAGAGGCGATCCTGGGTATGAACTTTATGGTTCCAGCGGGGATCCGCCTCGATCTTGCGGACGGCTCTACCTCTCTCCCCGACGAAGTCAAGATCCAGCTTAGCGGACGGCGTCAACTGTACAACGACAATGTCCGACACGTGTGTGTGGATCAGGGAATGCAGATCGCGATCGGGGATTCGATCGAGCTTCCGCTGCGAATGAAGGTGACGGATCGAGAAAAGCTCTGGGTCACCCGAGGAGATCGCTGGGTGCCAACCGTGGTCCGAGGACCCGGCAGGATCAGATATCTCCAGGTTACTAACATCAGCGACGAAGACCTTGTCTTGCATCGGAATGAACGGATCGGGATGTGGCTGGCCGGAGATCGGATACCCCGGATCCCAGGACAAGTGTCGATTGGATCTCGTCGATACATGGAATAGCAGAATCTAGCCTTTCAAGCCACGACAGATGACCGGCCGACGAACCAGGAGGCACCAACGGGACCTCCAGTACCTGCCGTCGAGCGACCGATTTATCCAACGCCCCGAGCCATCCTCCAGAGACGCAAGGTATCCCCGATCGTCGATCAATCGATGGGTCCATCCGATCCACCAAGCGAACCGGAGGCAATGAGCCCTGATCCGGGGGTGGCCGTCGTTGATACTCTTAGATCAGGGGGCGGACCGTTGCAGGACGGTGATCGCGTGACAGAGGAGTCGGGGTCGTCAGCTTCAACTGTCCTCGTCGGAGATCCACCAGACCCACGGTCGGATCCTGTTGAGTCGGTGTGTGAACCTTCCGGATCGGAGGAGGAATGCTCTCCAAAGCGGAAACAGGTGGGGCTGGACTCCCAGCCTTCGCCGATCACGGATCAAGCGTATGCACCGATAGATGACGCGAAGCCGCAAGATGATCGTGCTGGCGATCCAGAGGGGAAGCCAGATTATGTGGATTCCGGTGGTAAAGTAGCTGAGAAAGGCGAAATCGTGTCCCCTCACTTGCCATCGGCCGATCAGGTCGACGGTTGTGCCGTCGAACCAGATCTTGGGGGCGGGAGTACCGATCGGACACACCCTTTTGCGGTCTTAGCTGTGGAAGAGTCGAGATCAAGTGACCATACAGCAGTCGACGGTGTGCCTGCATCTGAACGACTGCCGCAAGTGGATGAAGACTCGTCGATCGTTGGAGGTGATCAGCTGGAAAAGGAGGCCAAACCCACTTCAAATCGGGACGACCTCATTGCATCCGAACCGAATCGAGATGTTGGCGCTGATGATCAGGTCCATTACCACGAGGGCGGAAATCTGTCAGCAGAAGATGTCGAAGGTGAATTAGCTGTGCTTCCTGAAATTGTGATCTCGACGACAGATGAGGTGAAGATCGATGATATCAAGGTGGGAGATCTGGAGTTCAACACTCCGGAGGAGATCGATCGGCTGCGAAAGAAGATCGGGGATCCT